CCCCTCAGCTCTTCAGCTCAAGACTAGCACTCTACTACTTGAGCCACAGCACCACTTCCGGCTTTTTCTGCTTATGTGGTGCCAAGAAACTCAGGGCCTCATGCATGCAAGGCAAGCACTCTATGACTGAGCCACCTTCCCAGCCCCAAAGTCTTAAGATTATTTTTGTTGTTGTTGGTCGTGGGGCTTGAACTCTGGGCCTGGGCACTATCCCTCAGCTCTTCAGCTCAAGGTGGTGCTCTGCCACTTGAGCCACAGCACCACTTCTGGCCCTGTGTTCTAACCCCCAGTACTAGCACCTTCCCCATCCCCTCGCAAAAAGCAGCAAATATAGAAAGGTATAGCATTGGTGTATATAAATATTATACATTAAATGATTCAGAGAGATTTGCCACAAGAGGGCGTCCCACAATGGACAGAGATACCAACTTCTCTCTTCTAAGTGCTTGAGTAAATGCTAGCCAAACATTTTCAAGCCTCTGAAAAGAAACTTCTATCCCAAATCCTTTACTTTGTATAGCCATAAGCTTACCAGATGCTCATAGTTAAGGGTGTCTATTCATATCTTAGGCTTTCAAACCTTAACTGCAAAGTCAATGCATCTGATTCCTAGTAGCTGAATCCTTATACTAAAGTGCATATTAAAATGTTGGGCAGTGAAAATGCAATGTTGTGGTAGGGAACCATGAACATGCTTACAGCCATACGCGAGGCTTAGGACACTGCTTATAAAATCCGGACGCCAGGTTTCCTTCTACTATCACCATTGTAACTGCTATACTGTAGCACACTTCCAGTCTGGCACAGGTAACAATGGTTCATTTTTTTTTTTTTTTTTTTGAAACAGGGTCTTGCTGCTCCAACTTGTAGCCCAGGCTGTTCTCAAACTCTAGATCCTCCTGCCTTCACCTCCCTCCCAAGGACTAGTATTATACATGCCACTGTTCCTGGTGCTAGTCTTACTTTATAATAAAGCCTACTCAATAGACAGACACTCTTGAAAATGAACTATACCACTTATAGGTGGAGACAGTTAGGGAAGAGGTGATATTGTCCAAAAAGACATGTACTCATTACCTGACTTATGTAACTATAACCGCTCTGTGTATCACCTTTATAATAACAATTAAAAATAAAAAGAGTGAAATAAACAAATAACATAAAATAAAGCCTAATTAGTCATTGTCTTCGAATGAAATGTGTCTCTACCTAGGGAGACTTCCTTGATCAGCTCAGCTGCGGCATGGCAACCCTGAACAAGTATCCTGGTCCAGGTCGACAGATCCCGGTGTGTCTCCACCCGGAAGAGATGCATCTCAATGCCCTGCCGAGAACCTGTCCTGGTAGCAAATGTAAGGTCAGATCCAAGGGAGGGTGACCGACATCCAGATCCAGAATGTACCAACCTAGGACCACAAACAGAGAAGACATCAAAGTAATGACTGTATCAACGGAGGGAAATGCCA